CAAGCGAAACGACTAACTGACCAAGGGGAAGAGTGCAATCAAAGGGCACACACGTGCGCGCGCACACACACACCAGTCGATCGGATCTCGATGTCTAAAAGCCAGACAAACATTACATAACATATGCCGTCCGGCCAGGGGCCGCAACGGTAAGAGGCCGCGTAGCCAAAGCCCATCCACATCCGAAGGAGACCAACAGGTAAAAGCACCCCACAAGGACCAAAACACGTCAACCCGCCAGTATGACATGAGGCCGGGTAGATAAAGCCCCTCCGCATCCGAACAAAGGCCAACGGGTGAAAGTGTCCCCACAACGCCCCCCGTTAGACCCCATCACCCATAGAAGGAAATACGGACACCCTCACCCAGCGATCGACATGTCCACCGGGGCTCAGCAGTTGCATGCGGACCAAACAATGCGCATACAAGGCCTGGGAAATGACCGACAGACAAGGAGGCCCGGGCGCGCCCTCGACCCACACATCATGGACCGATCAAATGATGGGAAAAGCGGCATACAAGCATCGGCGTGAGGTGCACGAGGCAGATCGGACGATGCAGAGCGCGCCAACATCTTTTATAGGAGAATATTTTAGAAAAGGAGTACTATATAATGTTCATAATAAATAATGTATCTGTATATTTTATTGTTACTCGGCAGCAAAGGATTCAGATAGTTATTTTTAACATGTGAAATTTTGTCTAGAAGCAAAGTAACAAAACATGTCACATATGATCAATTGAATTTGCAAAGTAAGATGGGCATTTTGGCCGAGGCACAGTAAAGGTCGGGCAAATCATCAGTTCGTGGATGACATCTCCCTGTACTGGTAGGTATAGCTAGCTGAATCCCTTGGCCGCGAATTGACAGCACCAACCTCCACTCCAAACCCCAATGCGAATTGATATTACCAATCTCCACTCCAAGCTCCACCGCCGGGAGGAAGAACCCTGGCCGCCCTTCAAGGTCCCTGTTCCCCACGCCGCCTCTGGATGGACCTGCGTATGCTTCGCAAACCTTTATTCTCTATTTAGATTCCGATTTGCTTGACACCATCGCATCCTTAGCTGTTGCGGTGCGATTTGGGGGGGCGGTGCTTGCACGAGAGGGCCTTTTTCAGAGTGGCAGGACCCTTTTATTTTGTCCGTTTGACTTTGATTCGAAGTTCATCACAAAAGTATGTTTCTTTATTTTTTAAATGGTCTTCTTCGGCCTTTTCTTGTACTGCGATTTGGACGTATTGTTAATATACAAAAACACTGGCTCATTGCACTGAAAGTGTGAAATGCAGTACCGGGGAGTAGGGTCGAAATAGTGCTGGTGACTCAGTGAAACTAATTGGTACATGTTTTCAAGTATTAGTGTATTACAACGGGAGAGACAGAGAGTAGGATCATCCTATGAATTAGGCAACGTTTTCAAATACAACAGGAGAAGCAGACACTTGGATCTGTTCAAAAGTACTTTGCGTTAACTTTTGAGTGGTCCTACCAATTATTCAACTAGTGTCTACCATTTAGATCGACGGTGGACCAATTGGGCAATCAAACATGGATACTGATTGTCTGGTTCAGTGATGAGATTACCTATTCTACTATATTAGTTTATTTAGAGTAAATTGTTTTCTACTTATCCAAACTTGCACCTCTGTAGCACTTACTAGGTGGGTAAAATGTTGAAACCTCATTGGTTGTCTGCTGAAATTGTAGAAGTAAAATAGCTTAATATACTGATGAAATAACTGGAAACTTGTCATATAGCCCGCAAGCTACTCGGCTGATCTGAACCAGCATGTTGCAGCTATATTTCATTCACATGTCGTATGGTTACTAATGCCATGCTGCCTCAGTTTTTTATTACCCAGCAATTTATAAAGGCATATTTTGCGCACAGGAGTGAAGGCACATAGAGCAATCTGGACCATCAATGCTTGCTTTGAGACTTGTGTGTGACAAAATAAGAATTTCAATAATAGTCCGCATGCTCATGCACTTGGAAATACATATCTTCTTTGATGCAAACTCAGCATAGTATATTTTATGTGCAGTGCCTTCCCTTGCAGTCTAGGCTCTAGTGCATGTCAGCAGCAGAAACTATTAACATCATACCAGAACAACCGCGCGATGTATGGTGCTCCCTGGTTCATTTTATTTATCCTGGATCTAGTTAGACATCATAGCTTTGCTTTTTTTGGTTTCATTCTACCAAGGGCTAAGACTTATGGTGTCAAACTCCATCTGCTGAAACCAACACGGGCGGTGTCAATGCATGTTCTGTAGTCCAATTTTCCAAATTTTACTTATACTTATTTCATAAAGCAAAACAACAGAACAATAATTGTTTTTTGGCATCAAAACAGGTTCACCCATCCAAACTTTGGCTAGTAGCAAAGAGGGATTTTATAAGCTTTATGTTGTTATAAAAAAGATTAAGTTTTGCCTGTAAATGTATCTATTATCTAGGAGGCCAGGTTATACGTGCATATTTTTGTTTCTTCAGTTGATTGAATTTCTTATGTATTTTTCTTACAGGAATAAAATGTGAATGTTCGCTTACACCTGATGCCCTCCTACGCACATAATGAGGTGTAACTATTTTCTACTCTTGAAACTGAAGGTAGGATCATGGTGCTAATTCAGGTTTCACTTAATAGTTCTTGCGTGCATAAATGAGATTCTCATTTTCTTGCTTCCATTGTGCACACAATCAGTTTCTCTGTAGAAATGTAAAGCTGAAAAAAAAACCACCCTCTGTCCAGTGCATTATTTGCACATCCTGTCGAAGCTGCCTATGTAGTTTTTCCTTCAAAAGGCAACAAAAAATGTTGGGGATTCGAAGCTTGAGCTAAATAGATGAACTTTCTGAATTTGGTAACACGTACACCTTTTTGGGTTCAAAAAGATTATCAAACGGTGCTTTTACTCTATTGCCACTGGTACAAATAATACATGACTTTGTCTTTGCTGCATACCATGCCTGCAGGTTTATAGCCACTATTTGAATGGACTTTTAGTCTGGAGTAGGGGGTAGCTGCACTTGTTTGTATCCTGAGACAGCAAGTTTGTAGATAGAACCTTGAACGAGCTCCTCTGTCACCTGTATCAACTCGAGTGTCCTTGGAGAAGCTCCAGCAAGCAACATTACCAATTTGCTTGGATCCTTTCTCATGGGAAATATTGTCAACACTGTTAGAAGATTAATGAATGTGATTTCTGAGGGCTTATCTAGAACAGTATCACCTAAAGAGAACTGTTCTACAGACGCTGTGGTTGCTAAGGGTTCGGAACGTGGTCCAGCCAGGGATACACATAAGAGCAAAGAGTTGAGACCACACAGTGTTCCTTCTGGAAATAATTTGTTTCACTGCGATGCTTACGAGAAATTGATCAACGGTGAACGTAATTTAGGTTGTAGAAGCATTCCTGAGGCTTCAGAGGACTATAAAATGGTACCAGATGAAGATAGAGCAGTGTCTGGTCCTTTGGATGTGAGCGGTTGTGAAAGTACCCCTAAAGCTTCGTTAAGGAGACGAGCCGAGCGGAAAATAACTAATGTGAAAGCTGTTAGATTGATCTCTCCACCAATGGGCCCAACGGCTCATTGGGCCCTTGACCCACGCCCTGATCGGGGGCGTCCAGCCCAAGCAAGGCTGGTGGGCCCCTGTCGCGCAGTGCTATAAAGAGGAGGTGGGGACCAGGGGCACAGGGTACGAGGTTCGTCGCCGCCACTGTTCCCCACTTCTAACCCTAATCCGATCCAGAGGGAGGCACTGAAGCGACGGGAAGCGCCACCAGCCACTCCACCGCCGCCACTCATGCACTCACCACTCTCTGTCATCACCGGCTATCATCACCATGGCCGGCACCGGGAGTTACTCGATATGAAGGAAGTGAAGGTATCTTGTACTCCTCATCCCATCTACCCTTAAGGATCTAGCCTAGACGATCCTACAGAGTTTAACAATGGTATCAGATTCGAACTAGGCTAAGTTCGGGGTAGAAAAGAATCACAGAGAAAGAAAAATTCCCCTCCCACAAGAACCCTAAAGTTACAGGGCAAAGAAATCACCGGAGAGGGCCTCGTGCTCGCCGGCAAAGTGCGCCGCCACAAGGCCGCGCCTGTTCCTCTCGATCCGGACGGGCATCGGCATGCCGAGCCGTCCGGAAGAAGAACCAACCCCATACAGGGCAAAGAGCACCACCACCGAGCCATTCGACGGCGGCGCGCTCACCGCAAGGGGAACGCGCGACCGGCGAAGGGGTCGGCAACGGCACCGCCACTCCATTCGTGAGATGATAGGAGCTTGGGGGGCACGACGCACTGGCGTCTCTCTCGCTCGCGCTGGCGGTGGTAGGTAGAAAGAGGGAAGGGGGATGGAGAGAGAATGGCCGGCGCCGTCGCGGTAGCTTTTGGCGCTGTCGCCGTCGGGCGCGAGTGGAGCAGAGACCGCTCCGTGTCTCTCTCTGTCACAAAAAGGTAAAAGAGAGAAGGGGGAAGGGAGAAAGAAGCCAGGCGCGGCGTGGCAGCCTTGGCGCTGACGCCGGCGGCCGGGCAGTCGCCGTCTCTGGCGACGGGAGAGAAAGAGGTCGAGAGAGAGAAGAGGCAGACAGATCGAGCGAGTGGCTAGGGTTTCGGTCGGGGGAATCGGCTCCTCCCAGTTTTGTTCGACCGGAAACGGTGCTGGACCGTCGATCTCATCGGACGGCAGGGATGAAACCCTATCTCGCCATTGGGCCTCTAGGCCGAAAGGCTGGCAGCGACGGCGGGGCGCGCGGGGCGCTTGGCCCAGGCCGCAGCCACGCGCTGGTCTGAGGCCGGCTAGCGCGAGCGTGCGGAGGCGCAGGCCATGGGCCGCTGCGGGCCTCCCGCGCCAGGCCGCGGGCCAGCTACAGTTCTTTCACTTTTTTGTTTTTGTCTATTTGTCCAGTTTTTGGGCAAAAGTTATACAGTTTATTTCATATAGTTTTCTATGCAATTTTTTTTCCAATGAAAATTTTGTTTAAGAAAATAGCAAAGTAAACAGGAAAAGTTTCTGAGAATGAAAATTTTCAGAAAAGGAAATGTTCATGAATTTTATAAGAAAATAATAAAGTTCATGAATTTTTATTTGGTCAAAGAAAAGTTTCTGTAAAAAATAAAAAGGTCCATGAATTTTTTATTCATGTTTATCTGCTGCAAATAAAAATAAAAGTTCTTTTTTTTTGAAAAAGTGAATAGAACTAAAGAAAAAGATTATATTGTTGCTTCTCTAATGCATTTTTGAACCAATCGGTTAAAATTGCTTAGAGAGTAAAAGAGTACAGAATTGTTTCTGAATAGAATATTGTAAAGTTTTCCGCTGCAAAGTAAAAGTTGTATCCTCCAATTAAATTGGAACCAACGGAAAAATTTAATTGGAAGAACTGTTCTTATCAATGTTTTTCCCCTGTGGGTGAAATAAGATGCAGATAGCTTCTGCTATAACAGTAGAAAGACATTTGATTAAAGTTTAATTATGGTATTGTTATTTTCTGACCAACGTTGATGATGACGATATTATAATTCTATGAGTCTTATGTTCAAAGCTTAAATCTCTGATAAAAGTTGTATCAAAATTTTCAGAGAACAAATAAAAGATCAAGAAATGCTCTTGAACAAGAGAAATGTATATTTCTTGTTTCCGTTGTAATAAAGTAGGTGATGATGGTTATTTCTTAACAAAGTTGTTTAATAGACATACTATGAAAAAAAAAGTTTATACTATCATCACATTTTTTATGAGTTATATGCATTATTTTCATTTCCGCCCAACGGTGATATGGAATTAATGTAGAAGGACGATGTTTTGTTCTAATTCTGCCCAACGGTGATTTAGAATATAAAAGAAAGTTTTAAAAGTTTAATGCGCATATTTTTTTTAACTAGATAAACATGGGGTTATTTTTATGCTCATTATTGTTGATTATTGGTTAAGTTTTCTCAGACTAAAAGTTTTCCATGCCTTCATTCGTGAAAGCAAATGGCTGGGTACTTGTGACCCGAGAGATGACCAAGAAAGGTCAACGTAAGGGAGTATGTTCTCTCTAAAGAATGACTTCAAAAGAAAAGAGATATATAATTGAGAGTCTTGCTCGACGAATGTCTTCATGTACTCTCCATGGAAAAGAATTCTCATCTTCTATGAGATGCAATAAGTGATATGCGTGATTAATTTGACCAACGTCGGATTAAGCATGTGTATTAAAGAATATTCGGATTTATTCCTAAATTTGATGATTGAATATCCAGTCAAAAGAGCCAATTCTGGCATCCCGCATGGCAGGAAAAGATGATTATGATAAAACCAGCATGGCAGGAAAAGTCTGGGAAAATCCCTGCGTAACCCGTATGGCGGCAGAAATTTTCTCAGACTTATCATGTATGACAGGAGAAAAACATGATGACTCATGTGCTTTTAATGTATCCCACTCTGGGAGAAAAGTATGGAGTAGCTATTATGCCTTCCTCGTATCGACCGTACATCTTATGTGTAACGGTCATTAAGCACTCAATAAATCCAAAGAGAATAAAAGTTACAGACGAACCTAAAGATAAGAATGATATACAAGTGTGACTTGCAAAAGTACTAATGATAAAGAACTCTGTTGAGTTTCTGAAATGGAATAAGGAAAAAGGACTCCCATACCAGTTAACAGATAACTTCATTACATATGAAGTAATCAGATAAATGAAGTAGATACTCAAAGTTTCCTCAATTCACAAGAGTTGTGAATGGTTTTTCGAAATTGTGGTAGAAAAGTTCTTGCCACATTTCGAGGGGGAGAAAGAAATATGAGATACCCATTAATGAAGAATGTGATCGTCCGGGGGAGTACGGTGATCATAATAATACCCCTAAAGAAAAGAAGACTAAGGAATACTAAGACGGTGCTTAAAGTGCCATAAAGAAGAAAGTTTTAACAGAATAAACCCAAATAATAAAGTTTAAAGATACACCATTCTTAGTGAAGATGGAGTAATCTGAGGGAGCATGGTATGAAGATACCTAAGACTCAAATAGATTGTATCTAGGGGAGCACGTTGTATGACCTATACAACACCCATTGTTAGCTCTATAAAGGAGGAATGATTTAACATGGATCTTATGATAAAGGTTCCTGTAAAACTTATTGCCTCTTGGAAATGAAAGACTATACAATAATTTGCCTTTTGGCAATGACAGAGCAACAACAGCCCCATATGAAAGAAGTGCTAGTACCTGAGACACAGATGGTCTCAAGGAATGAGAAAATCAGATACTTCTGATTACTATAAAGTCTATGTTAGTAAAATTCAAATGGAGGTTGATCCCACCTCATTTAAAGCGCTCAATCAAGTTTTGAGAAGTGCCTGCTTATCTAAATGATAAGAGACTATGTGAGATGAAATGAAATTGATGAATTCTGACGATGTTCGGGACTCATGAGTAATTTCCAATGGAGCCAAAACAGTAGGCTATAAAGAGTCTACAAGGTCATGTGACTCCAAAGGAAATATGTAAAGGTGTAAAACACGACTAAGATCGAAAGGTTTTTGCGCATTTTACACTGAATAGATTACAATGAGTGTTGGTAGCACATCATGATCTGAGTTACATCAGATGAAAGATATTATGATCTGAGTTACATCAGATGAAAGTAAAGAACATAGGGGATACTGCCTGAAGAAGTCTTTTATGGACTAAAGCAATCAAATGTTGTTTTGGGTTAAAGAAAATGAGAGTACAATTGTGTTTGTATAAAGTTATAGAATGGGAATTTCATTTCCTATATCTTGTACATGCGGATAATATTCTACTTGTTAATAGTGATGTTAATTCGATTGTAGGAGGAAAAGAAGTTCTTGTCCTCAAAGTTCAAAAGAATGTTCTTGGTAGAATGTCTCTCGTTATAAGGATCGAGATTCACCGAGAAAAGAATAAAAGGGGTATTAGGAGTGTCGCATGGGCATGCTAAGGGAAGTTTCTAAAGTATGCATGCGAGAAAACCTACACCTATTCTTATAGTAAAGGGCAATGATTTTGGGAACTTTAGTGTTCCAAAAGTCAATACGAAATGGACCAAATGAATATGGTACCATATGCTTCAGCTGTTGGAAGCTTAATGAATGCAAAAGTATAACATTACTGTGACACAGTTCACGAAACCGGGTTGTTTTGGTAATGTCCAGTCCAGATATAGATCACTGGAATGGAGTCGAGGATATCGGCCTCATGCTGAAAGAAATAAGTGCTCTCAAAAGATTGTGAGTACAAAGACAGGACTCATGAAATATACAGCGAAATCCACAATTGTCGCTGACTTTCACACTTGGAGTTTTTGTGTGGAAAAACTCTAAGGAATGAATCTATTATCATTAATATGATGTAAAGATAATGTACAACATGATATGAGGCTGAGGGACAGGCAAAAAAGGTTAAAGAAACATGTACCAGGAATTGATAGTGGTTGACAACAGCGATAACCATTTTAAGTTTTTCGCTCCTATGACAACGAGTCAAGTGTTGATGCTAAACACACTGACACAGAGTTATGCGTTGTAAAGGAGAAAGTACGAAATTATGTAGAAATGCTTGAAGCATAAAAGCAACAGACAAGTGTTTTGCAGATCTGCTTATTAAAGGCTTACCGCCCAGTGTGTTAGGAGAACACACGGTCGACATGGGTTTTATGGTATAGTCTAAGATTTCCGGACAATAAAAGGGCCCAAGGTTAAAGAAACTGTTTCAAAACAGAGGTGTGTGTTGTAGGTGTTGATTCTATCGGGATAGACCGTGATGATGAGACATGCTCTACATGCAAATCTGTGATGGAACGAGTACTTTGAAAAGAGTTATTTCAAAGTATAAAGTTAAAAGTATATGATGAGATCAAGGGGGAGAATGTTAGATTGATCTCTCCACCAATGGGCCCAACGGCTCATTGGCCCTTGACCCACGCCCTGATCGGGGGCGTCCAGCCCAAGCAAGGCTGGTGGGCCCCTGTCGCGCAGTGCTATAAAGAGGAGGTGGGGACCAGGGGCACAGGGTACGAGGTTCGTCGCCGCCACTGTTCCCCACTTCTAACCCTAATCCGATCCAGAGGGAGGCACTGAAGCGACGGGAAGCGCCACCAGCCACTCCACCGCCGCCACTCATGCACTCACCACTCTCTGTCATCACCGGCTATCATCACCATGGCCGGCACCGGGAGTTACTCGATATGAAGGAAGTGAAGGTATCTTGTACTCCTCATCCCATCTACCCTTAAGGATCTAGCCTAGACGATCCTACAGAGTTTAACAAAAGCATCAATTCAGGCGACAGTGCCAACTGGAACTTCAGCCTCTCCAGATGTGAAACATCCTAAAATGGTGAGTTTCGAACTCTGCATCTCAAAAAGTGAAATAATATTTCTCCACTCTCCACTCTCTCCCTTATGAGGGCAGGCCTGGCGCAGTGGTGAAGTCCTCCCCACTTGTGCCAAGAGGTCCTGGGTTCGAACCAGCCTCTCTGCATTGCACTTTGCAGGGGTAAGACTAGGTTCCTATAATCCCTCCCCAGACCCCACCTTGTGTGGGAGCTTCTATGCACTGGGTCTGTCCTCCTCCACTCTCTCCCTTATGAGGATTGATAGAAGCAACACAACAGACAATAAGTATACGTTTTACTTGCTTGTTCAATCATCCTACATTTATATAGAGCTACCACACACTTTAAGCTAGGTCAATGCAATCTTGAATAAGCTAATCTCTTGATGCCTTAGTGTAACACATCCCTACACGTTTTCTTGGTGATAACCATTTGCTTAAGGTAATTTTGAATGTTTTGGACAACTTATAGTGTATAAGTAACTTAAATCCAATCTTAGTCTCAGGGAATACAATTGGTTGACTGATTGCTCAGTTCCTTATAAAAGCTGGCGCCTTACTGGGTGAATACAGTAGGGCTCTGCACCAACTTTGCCACCATAAATCATGCTGCTGTCATTTTGTAATTAATTTTGTGGAGATACATTGAAGAAACCGATCAAGTTGTGCAAATGCTGCAACATCTAGAACTCTAGTATTTTGCTTGCAGTCAAGTACTCAAATTGTATGTGTATTGTGACTCCATGATGTCTCACTATGTTTTATCTTGCTTGTATCTGTAATTTTTATGATTGAACCTAACCCAACATTTAATTTGTAAATTGTTCATTCAAAATATCAGGTGCTATCTCCGCTTACCCGCAGTCGCAGTAAGGCTATGGCTCTATCTGTTTCCACACCTGAACATCTCAAACTGAGAAACGCCAGATCAGGTGAAGCATTTGGTTTTTGAACTTGTTTCTGTAAACCATTTATCCATAATCCATATTTATCCAAGAAAGAGAAAACTCATTTTCAGGTCAACTAGTAGTTCCACGGTTGGATTCAGGAAGCCAAAAAATTATCTATGACGTGGTTAGTAACAACATAACTGGTCATTCTTGTCACTGTTACCAGACAGCTTTGTCCATGACTGGCAGATGTGTGGTTGCTAAAAATAGGTCAAGGTTTATTCTTGTTGTCTAATATACAGGAAAAGTCTAATGTGAACAAACGGGTGCATATGGACCTCTGTTTTTTCACTCATTCCGGACTACCGATGAAGTTCATGTGTTTATTGAAATGAACATTGCCTTCAATAGTGGCTATATCATTTCCGGTTCTTGAATGTGTTGAAAGTATTGCTTCTTAGCTGCAACATATGACAACTGTGCTATGTTGCGAAACAAAATCCATTCCTGTAGGTTTTTGGAACTCCAAATTGCATAACAGTAGCTTAACATACCCTAAAAAACAGTGCCTTAACAAGAGTGGGCACGTCCTGAACCCAGGGGCATCTGCACCCATTTTTGACAAAATGCATTTTAAGCATGTTTTAAAATGTCAAAAAATATAAAAGAAAATTTCATGCATACATGTTCGCAAATGTGTATGCGCGGCACGAAGTTTTGTGAAGAAATATCTTTTTGGTTTGCCTCAGCAAAAAAAGACAAATGTCAGTGCTTCTAAATAGCGTTTCATGACACAATTTTTTGTCTTTTTTGCACAGGCCACAAAAAAAGTTACTTTTCCGTGAAACTTTATGCACGCACATGGAACATGAAAACATACACGTGCAACCTTTTTCAGATTTTTTTAGCATTTAAAAACATGTTTTTTAAAGCAGGTTCATATGTACCCGGGTTCATCCATGCACTTTCCGCCTTAACAAGGCAAAATTAAATAAAAATTCAGCCTTATTAGTGAAGTGTGCATACTGAAGTGAGCTATTTACCAGGCAAAAGTACCTATCACCCCATTGGTGGAGCAAAGTTCTGCAGGTAAAGCGTTGCCGAGTACACCATCACAAATGATCAAAACTCCAATTCCATATGTAAGTATAGGAAATGTGCCTAGTTCTTGTGGTACTAATTGATTCTGAGTGTTGTATATTTATATGTTTCATCAGCATACTAGAATATGGATTCCCAATCAATCACGCTGCTGTCAGTTCAAAAATAATTGCTTGAAAATAAATAAATTATATTCAATGAACCAAGCAACTTGTGCAAAGGCTACACTATCTGAAACTCCCTATGCTGGCTTTGAAATCAGAATACTACCTGCAGTCAAGCCATGTGTATATTATGAATCAATTTATGTTTGAACGTTCTAACATCTCATTGATTTATTCATTAAAAGGGACGATCTCCACTTACTCATAATAAGGATAAGGTGTTATCTGTTGCCACGCCCGAAACTCCCAAACTGAGAAGCTCTAGATCAGGTTTGGTTTCTGAATGTCTATTTGTACAAATCATTTATCTATTTTGATACAGGAAAGGGACATTCCTTTCAGGTCGACTGATAGTTCCACGTTTGGATCCAGGAACACAAAGTATTATCTATGACTCGGTTAGTAACTGCATAACCATGTCCTTAAATGTTTGTTTTGGTTTTATGCATCTGATACGAGTTATAAGTTCTGCAGTCAACTCAGAAATTTATGTATCTTGTGTAGATAAGAGCAATTCCCTAAAAAATGTTTTAGGGTTTTATAAATACCCAAAATAATTTAAACTTCAAACTTGGTAGGGTCCATTGGAGATATCATTTATCTCCTCTCTTATTTGGTTAGGATCAACATCCAACTAAAATCCAAATACTATATTTGGGAAAGTCACATTATTCCCGCTTGTTGAAATCTGGTTTGAAAATATCCAAATGAAAAATATTAAATCCTTTTAAGTTTAAATAACTCCTTCGGTCCAAAATTATATTTGTTGGATAGTTATATTAATCCAACTTGTTTGACATGGTTTGAAAGGTTTAAATAAATACTCAAAAAGTTTAATTCCTTTTGAATTTCAAACAACTCAATCAATAATATTATTTAATTACTTTATTAACATTTCAATTTTTTGGGATGTTACATATATTGAAAGCCTTGAGACACAGCTATTGGCAAGCTGATGTCTGGCTCGTCCCTCGTGCTGTTGAGGAAGCTGTGCTAAACCTTTCACGAGGCATGCTATGTTCCTCAGAAGCTAATCCAACATCATGTTTTTCTCATTACTGCCCCATTTTCCCGTGTGTGGACAAAGCCTAAGGACAGTCTTGGCACCTTGAAGTCTTAATTTTCCTGCCGGTATGCTTGCACTGATCAGCCCATGATCTTTCGCAGGATGGTTCTATCTGCGGCGTAACCAACTCAGAGCTGCAATGGCCTCAAGGTCCATCCTGATTTATCGTGTATAAGGGCTTCTCGGCTTTCAAGCCCAAGCTGAAGCCATGCAAAATGCCTCGGGATTCAGAGATAACTAATGCTTTTCCATGTTCCTTCGCTGGCAGGGTGCAATTCGGAACCACCTGCTAAGAGGAGGTCTCGGTGTTCATCCCCCGACCATGGCAGGTTGCTGCTATTCTGATAGGAGATGTCCTTGAGAAAAGGTTCAAGGGTTTGTGGTAAACTATGGAGATTATTTTACCCTTCCACAAGATCCATGAAGCAAAACGTCTGACTTAACACGTGACTGGTTCAGATGGAGGGACTCGCCATCAAAGTTCTCGGGTTGAGTATTCCCCTGTCGCAATTATTTGTTGAATGGAAGAATGTGGGAAGTAACTTTGAAGAACTTGAATGGAAGTAATCTTGGAAGAATGTGGGAAGTAACTTTGAGGAACTTGAATGGAAGTAATCTTTCATGTTGTGTTTGGATTTTTACTATTACTATAGTAACTACTCCCTCTGTTCACTATTATAAGTTTTTTTTATTCGGGTGTATATAGACGCATTTTAGTATGTTTGTTCACTCATTTCAGTTTGTATGTAGTCCAAATATGCAAAACATCTTATATTTATGAACGGAGGGAGTCAATGATATCCCGCACCTTGCCGTAGGACTTGATAGCAATGTATATCAATGAGATTTGGTTATATGTAACATGGATATTTGAATTAATTATATTTGAATTGTGACTGAAAATACGTATGATTTATTGTATAGTTGTAAATATTTTCTAATATAAGCACCATAATAAAAATGGAAGAGCCTTTTATCAAATGCATGGTTTCATGGTGAATGGGTCTTTTTTTCTGTGCATAAATATGTTGAGATGACATATTTACGTACTTAATACTGGTGAAGAACATCGTTTTGCACATATTCTAAGCTAGCCCTAGGAGCAACTCCAAGGTAGAGACCCATTTTATCCGTTTGGGTCATCGGGACACAAAACTAGACCCAATGGGACGACCCAAACGGACGTCCGTGTTCGCTTGCGTCCGTGTTCGCTTGCTGTCCGCCTCCGACCCAAACTTGAACCAAATCTGTGAACAAATGGGTACGAAGCGGACAGAAGCGGACTCTCTCGTCGACCGCTGTCGTCCGCTCGTGTCCGCTCCTTGTCCCACCTAGCAGTGCCCCGCTCGCGCACCGACCGAGCCGGCTCCCCGCTAAAGCTGCCCGTGCAGCCCACGCCTCCATCCCGTTTCTTCTCATCCGCATCCACACATCTCCAAAACAAGAAAAAAGATCTCCCCTTCCATCTCAATCCTACTCCTCGGCCTCCTCTCGCCGCCGGGCCAAGCGTAGCAACCGATCCGTCGCTGCTCCGTCCATCCATGTCGTCGCTCGCCGTCCGCTGCGGGCTGGAGTGGGAGCTCAGCTGGCTCCGGGGCCTCTTCACGGCCGCGGAGCTGGCGACCGCCGACCTGCTCCTGCAGCTCAGCGGGGACTACGAGGCGGCTGCCGCGGCGTCGAAGGCCACGATCTCCCCCTCGCCGCGCTCGGCGATCTCGTGCTGCGAGGTCCCCGTCAAGGAAGAGAAGGAGAGGGTCGTCGAGGAGACGGCACCCTTGCCGCTGGGGTCGCTGGACAGGCGGGCGAGGAGGAGCTCGGCGAGCTCGTGCCTCGAGGACCTCGCCGTGGTCGGCGAGGAGGAGCTGGAGCCCCCCACGGATCGCCAGGGAGACGGCGCCGACACGAAGGAGGTGGGGCGCCGGTGTAGCTGTTGTCCGTTCTGTCCGCTTTTGGGTTCTTGCGTTGGATGCCCGCAGTGTCCGCCCATGTCCGTCAGGAGGACATGAGACCCAAACGGACAAAAAACGGACAAAATCCATGCCCGTTTGGGTCCCTGCGTTGGAGTTGCTCTAAAGAATAGCACAACTACATTATCCTGAGATTACTTTGGTCCTTTGCGGCATAAATATAATTTTCCCCACATTTCAAACTTTGACCCCTACCAACCATGCGGATGAGGGCTAGGTGCAGAACCCACTCATTCCATTCGTTTTGGGGCGGGTGAAGCTGACAATGTAAGCCCTTAAGGCTATATGTATGCAATTTTACTATAAGGTAAAACTATAACTGTCGAGGGCACACTATCGCTTCTAAGGATTTCTCAAGCTTGGTGAGCAGAGCACACCAAGCTGAATCTCGTGACTTGTTCTAAATATCTACTTCACGCTGCAAAATTCTCCGTTCCACTATTCAGTGTAAGATGTGTACACATGAAGGGGTACTTTTTACAATGCATTAGGTTCATACTTTCATCAGCAGCTCTGATTGGAGAACACATGATCTCCGTTAATCATTCACGGCACATAACCTATAATATATTTTTCTAAAATGTCCCGATGTTAACGAGTGTTTCACACCTGCACTCATGGATTGACTGGAAAAGCCTTGATCTGCTTCGTTGTTAATTCTTTAGAGTACAAATGGTCAACATGTTTTTTTTAACAAATGTGAAGATATTCATCATCCATCATTGAGACTCCGCCGGGACACTCTCTTCTTCCCACGTTGGTGCTTTGTCCCTGCGGACGGATCCAGAAGGATGGCGCACCACATTATTAGCAAACTATTTTTAAGACTACAATGTGGTTTCCAAATGCCTTTTTATACAAGCTTATTTTCTCCGGAATGATTCTTAATAGTAGTTGCACACCATGTCATCGACAACTTGAACCACGACAAGTATTTTGGATGGAGGGAGTAACCTTTTACCTATTCCTTCTATTCATGTAGCATCAGTGCATAATTAATACTGCTAGAGTAACATTGATTGTATGTTTGCGTCCATAGATATTTAAGGGTGTTAGGGTCATTATAGGAGTATTTAGATTGATCAAGTTTCTATCTGGTCTTACTTCCTATGAAGATTTTGCAAAATTGTTGATGAGTATTTAGATTGATCAAGTTTCTATTTGGTCTTACTTCCTGTGAAGATTTCCCAAAATTAGCCGAGCTAATATTTCTTTAGCGTGGCCTTTGGTAGTTCATGTGCACATCTTTTAGTCTATGACCCGATCTCATATTTTCTTCAAATTTATAGTGAAATGACCCTTCAAGTCAAGGTTGCTCCATATTGAGTTACCTTCCTGCGGGAAATATGGATTATGGTTGTCCTTGTTTCTGACGAGTTGGAGCGGATGCACAATTGTACATGTACCAAATGAATCATGACGCATGACTGCTTGGGGTTGTTTTTAGGGAATGTAGTGTTGACGTGGGGACCATTTGGTATGTTCTCTATTAAGTTTTTCTTATCGTATGTTCTGTACTAACTTGCTTTATAACTTGTGTGATTGTTTCACTAATGCATACACGAGTATCAAACAACGATGGTGTGATCTGTATATGATTTTCTTCAAATTTTATAGTTTTTGAAGATTCAACGTGTTCCACCTGGTACACCTGGCTAGCACAACCAACATTTCAACGTGCAAGACTTGGATTGAGCAACTTCATATATATACCAGTTCTGAAGACATGAAGTTTGTATTTTGGTACAAAAATTAACATACAACTTTATCAAGCACACTTTTATCTTGATACAAAAATAGACGAGTACCTACTTCATATATTTATGTAAATTCCTTTTATTATGTTTGTCGGCGTGGCTCGACTATCTATGGGTTGATATGATACCCTTGTAGTTCGGCGAGGGGTTGCACAAAACGCAAAGAGCAGGTGTAACAGAAGGCGCAAGGATTTACCCAGGTTCGGGCCACCTTTGAGGTGTAATACCCTACTCCTGCTTTTGGTGTACTAATGGACTATGGAGCAAAAGTACACGGAGCGCTCTCCCCTGGCAAGGTGCTAGGAGAAGGCTTCTACACGAGTAGGCGTGGGTAATGGGTTTGAACCCTTGTAAAGGTTGCCTTGGTCCTCCTTTTATAGCTCAAGGGGTTACCACAGTGGCAAAATGATGCGGAGCATCCCACGATCATCCCCATGAACGTACCTACATCTCCCACGACACCACTTGGACCTATGACAAGAGCTCGAGCAAAGGTTATCAAAGATAAGGTGAACTCGCTCCTCTCCGAACTACCCCTTTCTACACATGAGACATGGCTACTACCTCAAGTGGAAACACTATGTGTGATCAGGTACTTAGAAGGAGGCCACGGAACAGCTACATCCAATGGCCAAGACAGCGAGGACACCAAGTACGAGAGACAAGAAGAAGAGCTGCCATTGAAGCTACAGCCACCGGACGACCGGTCAGGACCAGACGTCCGACACCTGAAGCCCGGCTTGCCCAAGTCCCAGCCAACGCATGCTACAACGAGCGGATGTCCGGCCAGGAATGGACGACCGGCCGCACCTCCCAGCGAGCGGACGTCCGGCCTACACCGAACGACCGGCACCATCACCACCGAAGGGAAATTAGCGGAAGTCCGAAGTGACCGGACGTCCGACACCACCATCACAGAACGGAAACAGCGGAAGTCCGACGACTACCGGACGTCCGTACGCCCATGAGCCACCGGACGGCCGGTCCTTAGCGGACGTCCGCTGCCTGTGTGCACGCAGCTTCGGGCTAAAGCCCATGTACCCCTTCACTTCGGCCCCCATTTGTACTACGACTATAAATAGACCTCTTCCACCTCCTAGCTAAGGTTAGCGTTGTGATAGCTCATTTGTGAGACAAAGCCTCGCTCATCCGTCCAGATCTGCTCCTCCGAGAGAGATCGTGCCTCTATGGAGAAGATCCACTTGGATTCAAGGCCCCTAACGGGAAGAACTCAAGACCTCCTCTCGGAGAAGAACCAGTTACCCTATGTATCGCCCGTTGTTGGATTCGGATCGTGTATCTCATTGTGTTTCGAGAATATAGCACATGTGTGATTGATCTTGTTGGTTGAGTGTTTTCTCTTGTGTTTCTCCTTGTTTTCCCCTCGTGTTCTTCGTGTTCTTGGTAGGATTCCCTCCAAACATGAAAATCGGGCGTCGAGGGTTCTACCCTACATCATCTTGGTATCATGAGCCACGTTGATCACGTTTTTGGAGCCCATACCCTTTGTTTTCTAGCTTGATTTTGTTGATTTCGTCCTAAATCCGAAAATCTGCACCAAAAATAACCCCAAATTTTTTTTGTCATTTGTTGGTGTGATGAAGTTTTGTTGGATTTGATC